ACTTCAACTCAAAAAAAAAAAAAAATAGATCCCAACTCTGTTGAAATTCTCTATATTTGCCTCCACTTTGTCCACCTTCTCCATGACATAGTTACTTAAAAATCCTTGTCTGTGAACTCCAGTATGGAGTTCCCATCTGTGGGACTGCTTCTATTATTTATTTTTTTCTCTTATATATTAGCCCTATGTTTCTTCTTTTTTTGTATGCTTTGATTATATGTTACATATTGGGTATAAAAGAAGGGTAAGGGAGCCATGTACAGTGGTTCATGCCTGTAATCCCAGTACTTTGGGAGGCTGAGGTGGGAGGATCACTTGAGGCCAGGAGTTTAAAACTAGCCTGGGCAACATAGTGAGATCCCACGTCTAAAAAAAACCAAACTAGCTGGGTGTGGCGAGCCTGTAGTCCTAGCTACTGGCAGGGTGAGGTAGGAAACTGATTTGAGCCTAGGAAGTTGAGGCTGCAGTGAGCTTTGATCATGCCATTGAACTCTAGCCTGGATGACAGATAGACATCCTGGCTCTAAAAAAAAAAAGTGTGGGGGAGCAGATTTTGTTCTCCTCCCCCACCCCATAGAGAAGGTTCCTAGAGGACCTAGTCCACCTTGGTGGAATTAAGTATTGAGCCTGGAGCAGAGTCATAGTTCCAGTAAAACTCAGTCCTTCTCTGATTGTCCCTGTCCTTAGGAGTAGCCCTCTAGGATTCTGGATCAAAAGCCTGGCCTTGTCAGACACAGTGGCTCATGCCTGTAACCCCAGCACTTTGGGAGGCAGAGGCGAGAGGATTGCCTGAGTCCAGGGGTTCGAGACTAGCCTGGGCAACTTGGAGAGACCTCGTCTCTACAATAAATAAAACAACTAGCCAGGCGTGGTGGTGCACGCCTGTTCCAACTACTTGGAAAGCTGAGGTGGAAGGATGGCCCGAACTTATCAGGTTGAGGCTGCAGTGGCCGGGAGCATGCCACTGCACTCCAGTGAGACTCCAACTAAAAAAAAAAAAAAAAAAAACCTGGCTAGTCTCTCTCTCTCAGCTCTGAAAGTTCTGCTTTTCAGAGATTAAAAGGAGTTCTTTAGTTTCTCAGCCCACACAAGTTCAAAACCTGGCAGATATCATGAGGGGGAGACCAGTAGTTTGTTTCAGGCCTCCTCTCTCTAAACATAGCAATGGTGAGACCTGCCTTTCTAGGCCATCCCCTCCCCAGCCTCCAGTACTGCCTCAGAACTCCACAAATGCTCATGGCATAAACCTCTCTGCATCTTGGGCTCCTCTAGTTCCCAATCCATAGGATAGGCCTTGCAACTACCAAAAACTGTTCGTGTCTCTTTTTCCCAGTAGAGCCTCTGCTTGGACCAAGTGTGATCCTCAGTAATGTCCTAAATCAACAAACGCCTCCAGGAAGAAAATAGCCACACACCACTAGTTTAGCTTGGGTGGGCTCTTGCCTCCATGAAATTTTAATTGGTCTGGTCTTTTTTTTTCTGAGTCGGAATCTCACTGTTTTGCCCAGGCTGGAGTACAGTGGCACGCTCAAGGCCACTGTAACCTCGACCTATGGGCTCAGGCGATCCTTTCACCTCAGCCTTCCAAGTAGCTGGAACTATAGGTGTGCGCCACCATGCCCAGCCTAATTTTTTGATGAATTATAGACACAAGGTCTCACCATGTTACCCAGACTGGCCTCGAACCGGTGGGCTCAGGCAATCCTCTTGCCTCAGCCTCCCAAAGTGCTGGGATTACAAGAGTGAGCCACCATGCCCAGCTTTGCCTGGTCTTTATTTCATCTACCGCTTGTCATTCTCTAAAAATAATTGTCGCAGCCAGGCTCGGTGGCTCAGCCTGTAATCCTGCGCCTTTGGGAGGCTGAGGTGAGTGAATTGTCTGAGCCCGCGGGTTTGAGACCCGCCTAAGCAACTTGGGGAGACTTCATCTAAAAAAAAAAAAATTGTCGCTGGGCATAGTGGCTCATGCCTGTAATCTCAACACTTTGGGAAGCTGAGATGGGAAGATCATTTGAGCCTAGGTGTTCGAGACCAGCCTGGGCAACACAGCAAGACTTCATCTCTACAAAAAATTTAAGAAAAACTAGCCAGCCATGGTGGCACATACCTATAGTCTGGAGGGAGGTGGAGGCTGTGGTGAGCCCTGATTGTGCCCATTACATTCTAGCCTGGGTGACAGCGTGAGACCCTGACTCAAAATTAAAACAAAAATAATTGTCATCTTAGCTGTTTTTTTCCTAGCAATTGCAATGCAAGTGGTGGCCTGCAGAGACCTACCATATCCTACCCAAAAGCAGAAGTTCTTCAGTTCTGCTTTCTGCCCCTTGCATTGGAGGGGTGACTTCACTTCATATTTTCAATCAACCACACGCCAGCTTGGCTTCCTCTTGCTCTTTCGTCTCTTTGAAAATAGGGATCAACTATTTCCTGAACTTTCTTGAGGGACAGCCATTTTAGCTTAAGGGTCTTATTGCTTTGTCGTTTTGTATGACAAATCTTTCCCAGTCCGTTCTTCAGTTTGTTCATACTTCCATGTTTTCTTGACCTTCACTGATGTTGAGATTAATGCTGCAGATGACTTTACAGGTTTCACTGGGACTCAGGGAAGGAGGAGAGGGGCTTCCTTCTTTTTTTTGTTTTGTTTTTTTTGAGCTGGAGTCTCACTCTGTTGCCCAGACTGGAATGTAGTGGCATGCTTACGGTCACTGCAGTCTCAACCTGCTGGACTCTGGCGATCCTTCTACCTCAGCCTTCTAAGTAGCTGGAACTACAGGCATGCGCTACCACGCCCAGCTAATTTTTTTATTTATTGTAGAGATGAGGTCTCACCAAGTTACCCAG